TACCTTTGAATTCTCTTTTAACCTCTGTAAGTGATACTCGGTTAAAACGACGAGTATGATACCACATTTATCAGATGGCTTGGCTCTCTCTCGCTCTGTGCATATATGAACAATCAAAGGAGTCGTTTGTTTTATGTAGAATACAATTTGACTTTTGCGTTCTTATCCTGTTCAATTGTTGCAGCTCTCGCTGCATAAAACGTTGCATATATTTGTATATCCGTACGTGATAATTGTTTGCTCTTGTAATATAAGATAATTTACAGTTTCATGTATCGAGGATACTTATATAGGAAGTTTCGTGAGCGAATATTTTATAGAGTTATTAATAGCTCTTTTAATATTACTTTTTTTTTCATGGTTAAAGTTTGAGTTCGGAAAGGGGGAATTATTAATGACTGTAAGAGAAAAAGAATCTTTTTATATTTATGAAGCGAATTAACGGATAACGTTTCGGATGTTGTATGGAAATTCGTATCTTGCTTGATTATAATTTTGTTACGCTATTTGTTCGACTCTCTATAATGATAATTTTACAACAATGCAAGGAACGATATTTCGAGGTAAATTTTTGAAACCAGAAGCTTTCTGAATAAGCCCATGGGACATTAAAAAAAGCCTGGAATTAAAACTTTCAAAGGAATTCACTCGATTTACATTTTACCTTATAGACCCTTTCATCTCAAAGCATCTCGAACTCTTGTCCCTACCTTATTTGCACATCCTGATTTCCTACTTCTACTTCAGAATTCACAAATTTCTTTTAAAATTATCTGCGATTGCGTTGAACAAGATATAGAATATCCTGATCCAAATTAATAATTCGATAAAAAAAATTTTCAAATACGGGATCGTTCGTTATATCTTAATATAGAAATTTTTATCATCAATATTGAATGCGCATAAAAAAATTTTTTCATTCTCTTTTTCGATCATTGAATATATAAACGCAAAGAATCTATCTAATAAAAATCCATCTAAATCCTATGAAGATGGCTCGATAAAAAAAAGGACGAAATATTTATCGAATTTCGAACAATGTCCAGAATTTGTCGGATTCTTTATTCATATCTCGGATGTTCAATCTCGGTCTTTTTTCGTTTCGTTTTGATGTCATTCCTCGGAATGTTGCGGAGCAAGCGGTTTTAGGAACGATTGCAATCGAGAACGATATCGAAGATAGGAATTGACAAGCCCCTGTCCGAGCGAGTGTTATCGACACCGCAGGATAAAGCGTTTCTGTCGTTAAAGATGATAGAGTAAAAAAGAAAAAAAAATGAAAAGAAAGAAAGAATCGATGAATTCTTTGTTAATCGAATCGATCGAACTCGTATCATTCGTTCTTACGATTACTTACTAAGAGATACGATTGTAGGATCGATGTAATTCACTCGCGAGGAATGTGTGTGGAACGAAGAATTAAAAGTCAAGAGTCCAAGAATACGTAGCCAAAGAATCGTTCTTTTGCGTCAAACGCGGGGAATATAAAATTAATGCATTGAAACAAGACTTGGAATAGATCGAGCTCGATGAGATTCTTGATTCGACCGATGTCAAATCAAGAATTTCATTTCCATCTTTTATTTATAAAATAAATATAGAATAATTTTCATGTATGACAATTATTATGATTACATCGCAAGTGAATAACTCGGATAGATTGCTTTAATCTCAATCTGCATGCAAAATAAAATTAAGTATCGCTTATCGTATAAGTGTCTTGTCAAACTTCTTTCCTTTACATAATTTTTCTAAAGATTAAAAATCGAAAATTTTATTCGCCAAGAAATACGTTTCCAACGTAATTTCTAAAAGAAAGGAGGCGGGAGAAAAAAAAAGAAGGAAAGGAAACTTTTTTCTTACGACGTCTTTCTAAATATTAATTTCCAAAGATCGATAAATTCTGCCAGCAGCAATAACTCGTTAGAAGAATGATGTCTAATAAGCAAATCGTGTTACGTCGAGTAATCGAAGTACCTTGGAAGGGAGAAATACATTTTTCGTGATTTACTCGCCGACGTAAACGCCTCGTTATGCCAATGCTATGGGAGGCCGAACGAAGGAAACATCGGGGCGAAAAGGAGAAGCGAAATAAATCATATTGCCGACTTCGTTATCGTCATTGTACACTGTACAACCGGGATACACCCCCCCCCCATCTCCGCGTACCTCTCATTATCAAGATATGATTTACGATTGCTCGTCGGGATCTCATTGATCGAACAGGGTAAAGCGAATTTCTACCAGCTTGTACCGTTCCACATACACACACACACACACACACACACACACACATTAATGTACATAACGTTCCTCTGTAAACCAATAAGGGGAATCCTGTACACGAAGGAAAAGCTGTTGATTGTCTCTGAGGAATCAATTATAGATAGATTGCTTGATTTCGATTGAAGGGATGATTGGTGAAGATAATGCGAGAGTGGTATTGATCGAGAAAATTTTGCGCCGCGAAAGTGTAAAGTAATAAAGAATACTTGAAATTTTGTGAACTTTTTTAAAATTTTGAATTAATTTTTTAATCATATATAACTCCCGAGAATAAAAATCCGACAAATTTACAGAAAAAAATTAATCCTCGAACGAAATTTTATCCTCGAGTAAAAGCAAACTTTCAAGCTTGTTTTTCCACGAGTCTCGCGTGTAACTTAAATCTTTGCGCCCAATCCTTAATGTCATCCCAAATGGTGGTATAATCTGAGAAGAGGTTCTGAAAAATATTTGTTTGAATCTTCTCGTCGAACGAAATGAACAAACGAGAGGAAAAAACGAGATGTCAACAATACTTTTCTCTTCAATGCAATTTCTCTCGATATCAACGAATGAATAAATATGCTTTAATCGAAAGAGAGAGAGAAAGAGAGAGAGAGAAGGTGATATAATATTTAAAAGCGCATATCCCTATTTTCTCTAATATTGAAAAAAATATTACGACGCTGGATAATATTTGTCGTTATCCGATCTTCAATCTTATTATCGGTAAACGTAATTGAATATTTTTATATCTTTTCTCTTTTTTCTTTTTTTTTTTTCTTTTTAATCTTAGATAAGTTTGCACAGCACTCCACTCGGTCTCCTTCCATATCCGCCGGAAGCAATGTCAACTACCACTACGCGTAACACCACTTTTTTGAGCGACAAATAACGACACGATATCCAATATCCGTGTAAAAATTCATTTTTATCGGTGGGAGCAAGAGATGGAGACAGGATAAGTAGAGAAGATAAAAATGAAGGGAAAGAGAGGAGAGTAACGTGGAAAGCTCGAATGTATGCTCTCGTTTGTTTCTAAATGCGTCGATTTTTGTTCCCCATCCTCGTCGCGTAACCGACTTTTCAATTTATCGAAATCCTCTCGGGCGTATCTTCTCAAAGGAGAAAACAAATTTAAAGTTTCGATTATCTATCGGCGATTCTTTGCTGGAATAATATTTTTATCGTGGAAACGAGCTTCCCCTTCGTCTCACGCGATTTTATTACAGATTCTAATTTTGAAATGTTTAATCTTTATATTGACACGTATTCATGCCTTAATTTTGTTTCAATTACGTATAATTAGAGGAATTGATACGCGTTTCATAATTTTATGTGTTTCTAAAGTTTATTTCACGGAGACACGACGCTTTTAACGAAATTGAATTCGTCAGGGAAGAAACATTGGAAAAGTCTCGAAAGCTTGTCTAAGAATTATTTTTTTCTTCGATGTGCTCATTTGATTTTTTACTAATAGATGTCGACGTTGCTTTCCAAATTATCGATATTAATCTTGTAACGATAACACGATCGATAAAATTTTAATCTCAATTTTCTCGCTTTTATTTTCTTCCCTCTTCTATTTTATTTTGTTCTTTTTTTATTCTTTCATGAATTAATAATGACAAGCAGCAGTAGCAAATTGAATCAAAATGTTATAATTATCTTTTTACGTACATTTTACGCGTTAAGAGCTTTCTCATGTAGCCTTGACTAAAAGTCATGTGTATTGGAATTACGTCGACAATAAAAGAAAGCAGAAGAAGAAAAGACAAAAGAAGAAGAAGAAGAAATTATTTCGAAATGCAATAATCTGTTTTCATTATTGCTGATAAATCTTTACGAACATTAATATATCGTTTTGTTTGTTTGTTTTTTTTTTAAGAAACTATTAATATTCGCTGTAATTTATCAATGTCTTACGAATGTTTTAATATCTGCCACATTCTTTTTTAATTTTTTAAATATATTTTATCTTTTAAAACATTTATATTCATATTTCATTATATTTAAAAAAACGTGTCCATGGAGATAAATCTGCGAGATAAATCTCCAACAACGCAACAACTCGCCTAAATCAAGATCTAAACTTTTTTTCCTCTCACTCGAAAAAATAATATTCCAAACGAAACACCATTCCAAAAGAAAATTTAACGAAATAGAAGAATTCCCATCTCATCAAGAATTTCAAACGATACCTCGGACCAATGCCTACCCAACAACTTAATTCTTCCAATTGAATTGTTGAAATCAAATCGACTTTTTCTGTTTGAAAAAAAAGGAAAGGAAAGAAAAAAAAGAAAAAAAAGAAGAAAAAAAAAGAAAAATACTGACCTCCGAGCTGGTCGAAGTGGTGCTGTCCGCGCTGTCGGTGTTGGCCACAGAGGACAGCGGTGATCTGTGTCCCCTTTGAGCCCATTTGTCTCTTATGGTCGCGACCCCAGCGACAACCCCGATCCTGCTAGCTGCGTTTCCGATCGACGAGTTCCCAGATTTCCCGCCAGCTTCGTTGCCCCTCCCGCTTCCGCCACCGCTGCTTCCACCACTTCCTCCCCCACCGCATGCTAGCTCCAGGACATCGCCCAATACCTCTGACAATTTACCCGGCACCTTGACGAAGGTGTCCAAGACCACTCGCTGAGAATAAACGATCGAGGGGTCCTTCTCAGGGACCCTTCTCTCCTCTCCTCTTTCCCTTCTTTTCCCTTACTTCTTCTTCCTCTTTCTCTTCCTCTTCTTCTTTTTTTTCCGGCGTACACGCGATAAAGATCACGAGATAATTCTCCGACCGACGATGGATCCTCGCGTGTACCGCCGCGTTCTCGAGGCGAGGAAAGATCCGCTTTCGTATTCGATCCGAAGCAGCCGAGAACGATTTCAACCTGTGTTAAACGTAAGGTCACCGTAAGGTGATAAAGCAACCTCGCTCATCCGTTTCTCTCTCTCTCTCTCTCTCTCTCTCTC